ATGTAAAGCAGATAACTCTTCATCCATAATTTGTTGCTAAAGAGGATCAAATAGAGCATCCTTATTAGAGGTGGGTTCATACACAGAGCGAATAGAAGTGAGAAAATTGAAAAAAAAAATTAAAAGAATAGCAAGAGTTGGAGAAACCAAACCTATCTGAACAATTCCAAGATTATTGGGATAGTGAGAGACATGATCTACTATATCAAAACCTAATTGAGTGATAGAAAAGGGAGGAGGAGGAGGCACCACGTCTATAGAAGAGACAACATGAGTCCTGTAAACATAAGTATGCACAATAGAAGGACAACAACATATAAATCAGTAGGAGAAGAAGAGGATGGAAACTCGTACACAGTTACATCACCAATATATGTTTCATGGGAAACATTAGCTGAAAAAGGATAAATGAAAAGGAGATTTGATTTATCCAAAGATGAAGAATCAAAAAGAAAATAATATGTTCTACAAAGACAACATGATGAGAGACATAAAGTCTGTGAGCAATAGGATCATAACAATGATTCCCTTTCTAACCCTCATCATAGCCAAGAATAACACATATACTTGATTGAGTACATAGCATGGTATGAAGGACAATAGGGAGAAAGACAAAGTAAGTACAACAAAACACAGTAAGTTTAGGTGGCTTACCACACAATTATTCAAATGGGGACATACTAGAAGTGATAATAATAGGAATGTAGTTGATCAAATGAACTGTTGTAAGAACAGTTTCTTCCCAAAAGGAGCTGGGGACATTTGTTGATCGCAAAAGAGAGTGTGTTGTCTCTATAATGTGGTGGTGTTTGAATTCGTTAATACCATTCTGCTTAGGTGTATCAATACAAAAAGATTGCTAAAGAGTACCATTAGATTTTAATAAATTACGAAAAGAAGGAAGTGTGTATCACCTCCTTGGTCACAACGAAAACATTTAATAACAGAAGAATATTGAGTGTTACCATGACATGAAAGGCAAAGAATATAGAAAAGAATTTGGATCGAAGTTTCATTAAATAAACCCAAACAATAAGAACACTAATCTTATCACTACTATGTTTAACAAACATAGTGTGATCTACATTACTTTGTTTGTATCCAAACCCCAGCATTACTTTGAGAAATTGTTCAAACCAAGCTCTAGGAGACTGTTTCAAGTCATAAAGTGCTATCCTCAACCTACAAACTTTTCTACCAGTAGAATGAGAAGAAAACCCTAGTGGAATGTCCATATAAACCTCTTCCTCCAAGTACCTATGAAGAAATACATTCTTCACATTTAGTTGTTGTAAGGGGTAACCCAGATTAGCAACACAAAAAACAAGAGTGCGAATAGAATTCATCTTTCCAAGGAGGGCAAAGGTCTCCTAGTAATCAATACCATAAATCTAAGTAAAACCTTGGCAACCAACCTTACTTTATATCTTTCAACTGCTCCATCTGCTTTCTATTTAACAGTAAAGACCCATTTACAGCCTATCGGTCTCTTTCCAGCTAGAAGTGAAGTTAATTCCCGAGTGTCGTTCTTGCTTGGAACTTTAATTTCCTTTATCATAGTTTCTTTCCACTTAGGAGCTGCAAGAACTTCCTTCCAACCTTATGGAGTAGACACAAAAAACAAGACGAAACAAAAGCAAGATACGAAGAAGACAAGAGTTAAAAGAAACAAAGTCAGAAATGGAGTGTTGAGTGCAGGATCTTACACCCTTTCTAAAAGCAATAGGAAGAGTAGAATCATCAACCTCTATAACAAGAGATGAAAACTTATCTTTTGAAGTTTTTGCAAGAGAATCTAAAACTAGAGTTGGGGGCTTGGTGGCACATGGGCGGTCTACATTATCGGACGTCGAGAATAGGTCTTAAGATCAGGTCTATCCAACCGTCCACCAGTATTATATTCTTCTTTAGTACACTAGTCTTTTTTTACCTCACCACAAACAATCTCTCTGAACAAATGAGAGAAAAATGAGAGCTCCTCTCGTGGATTATATAGTAATCTCTCTTCCTCATTACCAATCTCCCCCTAAAAAGACGGTTGAGACAAACTTGGGTTCAATCTCACCTTGTGAGACTAAGGATTATAACATTTATAACCCTTCTGAGTAGGAGAGTATGCAACAAAGACATCACATAGCCCTAGATCAAGTTTGCCTTGAGAATGAGGAGAGACCTGAACAAAATAAGCACACACAAATACCTTGAGAGAGAGGAAAAAGAGAGAGACCTGCAAAGAAGTTTAAGATGAACCTTAAACTGAAGAACACTAGACGGCGTGTGATTAATAAGATGTGTAGCAAAAAGAGAGAGACCTGCAAAGAAGTTTAAGATGAACCTTAAACTGAAGAACACTAGACGGCATGTGATTAATAAAATATGTAGCAAAAAAACATCCCCCAAAAAAATTGTGGGAACATTCATAGTGAACATAAGAGCACTGGTAATTTCAAGAAGATAACTTTTTTGCGCTCAGCAACTCTATTCTATTAAGGAGTGCCTACACATCTCGTTTCATAAAGTATATCATGCTCTTCAAGGTATGCTCGAAATTCACTATCAATGTATTCAGTTCTATTATCACTCCTAAGGTTTTTAATAGTGGTATCAAACTGGTTAGTCACCATCGTATGAAAAGCTTTGAAGCAAGAAAAGATGTCACTCTTGGTTCAAAGTAAATACACCCAAGTGACACAAGAATAACAATCAATGAATGTAACAAACCAACGAGAAATAACCTAAGAGGGACCCCACACATCATAATGAATAAGCAAAAAGAAAAATCGTTTCTTTTATTAATTGAAGGACAACATGAACGTTTATGCTTTGCAAACTCGCAAGCATCACAAATAAAACTACTTCTACGACATAATTTGGCTAAAGTAAGAAACAATTTCTCCAGAACACCAAAAGAAAGATGTACTAAATGGCAGTGCCACTAAAGCAAAAGAGGAATAGAAGATGCAGTAGCCACATGTAGAGCCTGACGAAATGACAATGAAGATGACGAGACAGCATCCAATAAATACGACCCTAAGGGAGCTATTCTAATCATCAAATTGCATCAAACAAGACAGAATCAAGTATTTTGAAAAAATAAACAAAATTTTTTAAAAAATAAAAAAATTACATTGAATGAACTCCAAAAAATGTGAAAATTTTTCTGGGAATAGAGGAACCCTAATAGTTCATATTAGAACTTTTTTTAGAGTTTAGCAAAAAAGGAGAAAAAAATTATGAGAGGAGGAGAGTAGACTTACATCACAGAAAAACAAGAAGATGAGCTCTGATACCAAATTAAATTATGAAAGAGAGATAGAATACACTTATGACAATAGTGAGAGCTAATAAGAGAGTTAATTTAGCTCCCTTAGCCTCATATATTTATAATAATAAGACTCAAAGTACATAAATACCCCTCATAGACATCTCTTAACAGGAACATATTTTGTTCTTTTCGATTTCATCTAGTTCTTTGTCTCCTAATAATTCGGATCTCATTTATATCGATCCATTTTCAACTGTAGTGATATGATTGTGTCTGACCTACAATCCTCTTCCGCCTCTTATGATTTGACTGTTACTCGTCCTCCTATTATGCTTACCTTGTTGTCTCTTCCATAAATGCGTTCCCTCCCCCCTGTGCCACTTGTCACTCAACCAAGTTCTCTGTCTAAATCCATTTTCTATAAGAAGGCTATACTTTGATCCCCTTTGGCAATAGGCTATGGATGAGAACCTATCTGTCTTACATAGGGCCCGAGCTTATGAGTTAGTGTCTTTACCCTCTTACAAATGCACCATAGGTTGCAAGTGGGTTTTAAAAATCAAAACCATATTTGATGGTGTTGTGAAGCGGCGTAAGGCTCTCTTAGTAGCCTAGGAATTTGCTCAGGAGTATGCCATCAACTATAACAAGATTTTTGCTCTAATTGCTAAGATGATCTTTGTCCGCACTGTGATTACAATTGTTGACATTCATCAATGGAGCTTGTCTTCAATAGATGTGGAAAATGTCTTTCTTCATGGTGATTTATCTGAACATGTTTTCATGAATCCTCCCAGATTGGCTCATAGTCCTAATCCAGTATGTAGACTTCACAAAGCATTATATAGCCTCAAGCCTAGGTATGGTTTGCCAAATTTTCGTCAATTATATATGATTTATATTTTCGTGTCAGTGATATGACTATGCTCTCCTTTTGTGGTCCACTGCCTCTGTTTTTAAACAATATGGTTATTACATATGATGACATTTCTGGAATATAGCTCTTGAAACCCTGGATCATTTTGAGATGAAAGATTTGAGTCAATTTCAGTATTTCTTAAAAATTAAGGTCACTTCCTCTCTCAGTCTAAGTATGGATCGAATATTATTTAGCGAGCTCACTTATCAGATAATCGAACAATTGAGACATCATTGGAACTCAACGTTCGTTATTCTTCCGCTAATGGTATTCTCTTACGCGAACCTACCCTATATCACACTATTGTTGAAAATCTGGCATATCTTATCGTTACTCGCCCACATATCACTTATGCGATGTTGGGAGCCAATTTGTTGCCTCACCTACCACTATTTACTGGGTTGCTATCCTCTGCATTCTTCGGAATCTTCGGGATACACTACATCAAAGTATATTATTTCTTTCCTCTTCTCTAAAACTCAAGGCCTACTCAAATGCTAGCATATTTTATATTGCATATTTAGTGTTAGGGGCAGGTTAATCATTTACTTTATTTTTGTTGGCCTACTACATAAGGGTCTCTATTGTGTATCTTATGTTAACATTGTTACACAACCTAATTGTGCCATAATAATATTCTCTTGTTCTCCTTTCTTTTGATCAAATTTTCAGCACCATGGCACGAAAATAGGTTCAAATTCTAAGAACTTTTTCACTAGCAAAATTACAGTTTCGCAAAGTAGAAACATATATGGATGATGAAGTATAATAGCAAAGGGTATTTTTACTAAAGAAGAAACATTCTCAGGATCCAACTTACGCAATTCCTTGAGCTAGAGTTGTGGTGACTTTCAGTCGCATGGCCCAATCCAGACTCCTACCACCCCTCGGAATATGGTGGAGCCATCTATCCAAAGGTCCATTCAATATAAACTCATACACAATGTATCGATCACCGTGATCATAGCAACATCCTTTAACAGCCACCAAATTTGGATGACGAAGTCTTGCTACCCTACCAATCTCAGAATAAAACTCCTTCTTCCTCTGAAAACTGGACCTCTTCAACCTTTTAACTGCAACCCTTGATCCATCAGAAAGAAGCCCACTATATGTACCACCTGTTTTGGCATCCCCAAGAAGACGGTTTCCTTCACTGAAATTTTTTGTAATTGATTTCAGCTCCTCACGAGTGAAGACTTTCCATGAAGGGGGAACCAATGCTGATGCAGCTGGATTTGATAGTTTGCGAGATCTTCGGCGTCTCTTGCTCTGCCTGTAAACAAGGAGCCAAATCACGACTGCTAAGGTAGTGCAGAGAATCAACCCACTCACAACAGCAAGGATAATAAGATATTCCCTGTGGCAATGCATATGGTCGCATTTGTTCTCTGAAAGAAAAGGAGGAAAAAATTTTTTTCTCAAATTGATGAAATAAATTACATTGAGCAAATAATTATTTGCAAAAAAAAAAAACAGACAGTGAATATCACCATGAACAATTATATAAAACTACACTTCATGATTTAACAAATGGAAAATTGAACGGCGTAAAGATTTATGAAAGCAAATGAAAAGTTACATAAATCAAGACGTACAGCAAACTGGCAGTGAAATAAAAGGAAATCACAAACCTATGTCCAGCATGCATATGAAAGCATGAGACAGATTGCATCTCTCAGCCACGAGTGGTGAAGTTCCATTAGTCACCAATGCACATAAATCAACTGAATTATTGTTGTGGCATGACACATTGGAGCATGTGGAGTGTAAAGGTATCCCAGGTGTGATAGTTTCGTTCCAATATGATCTGTCAGACCATTTCCAGCCCATACCAACTGTAGAGTTGATGGCTCTCCCTCCAACCCAGCATCCATTATTAGCATTTTCACCACATAGCTTTCGAACAATATCTGGATCTTCAAATGAAGTTAATGCTGCCAGGTGTCCACGATAATGTTTGCAGTGGGTCTCTGACTCATCCCATGCCTGAGAGCTTGCTATGTATCCAAAGCACTTTTTTTTACTTGAACTGATTAGCCAACCAGAAGGGCATGCTGCTGTAACAAAAAAAAAATGCAACAATCCAACATAATTAGACAAACTATAAAAGTAATCCATAAGGGAATAAATGACTCCTTATAAATCTTTGTTGATGAGAATTAGACTAAAATATTTCCACAAATGAACTCTGGAAAAAAAAAGGCAACTATATGAGTCATATAAGTTTTTTTTTCAGGTAAATAAGTCATACAAGTTGGCCCCACTCCATCATAGGATAAATCTTCAAGGACAAAATTATATGCCTGTTTGGATGACAGCGACCCGAGGTGGGAGGGGTATCTCATTCCCAACACACCTTACCATATATTCCGTTTGGTTGCCCTCAATAGCCTTATAGAGGGTTTAATATCAATTTTATAATTTTTTGTGTTTCAGTCCACATCGATTTGAAATGATATGCAAGAAAGCATTATTGTTTCCATACAATTATTTAAAAAATGTAACGTGATTATTTTATTCCCATTTTAGCTTATCCACAAAATATAGGAAAACATTTAAGTTAAGCGAATAAACGTTCTTGGTGGATGTTGGACCTAGGACCCCCAGAATTTGTATGCAAGATGAGCCTATAGGAGGAGAATATTATTTAAGTTGTAAAGCGAACCAAAGAAAACAAGTCTTCTGAGGCCTAGGTGAGCAGCGAGAGGCGAAGCGAAGTGAACAGAAAAAAAAACTGGTTGATATTTTAGTTTAATTACCTCTAAATATCCAAGTTCAATGATCCTCTACACAAATAAACAATTACAAAATTTTATAAATCAAAAGCAGAAACAGAAGAAGCAAAATCATAAACATAAGCAAAATCAGAATTTTAACAAAATTAGAGACCTAATCAAAGCAAAATGAGAAACAAAAACACAGAATCCCAGAATCAGAGTTCTAGCATAATCAGAGTTTCACCAGAAATAAAAACAGAAACATAGAATCCCAACTAAAAAAAACAGAAGCAAAAGTATAACTAGAACCAGAAGAAGCAGAATCAAAATTAATAAGCATTTTTTTGATAAGTGATAAATCAGTAAGAGAAACAAAATTCTAGCAAAAGCAAAATTAGAAATAGAAACACAAAATCCCAGAATTAGAGTTCCAACAAAACCAGAGTTCCAACAAAAATAAAAATAGAAACGCAAAATCACAACCAAAAAAACAGAAGCAGAAATAGCAGAACAAGAAGAAGCACAATCAAAAACAGAACCAGAAGAAGAAGAAAAAAAAAGTAGAAGAAGAAAAAGAGAAGAATAAGAGAAAGAGAGAATAAGGAGAGAAAAGAATAACATACTAGTCGGCATTTCTCTCTAAGAAAATTGAAGCAGAAGCAGATCTGGGTTGTGTTCTGTCGAAGAAGAAGAAGCAATCGCGACTCTCCAGACTCCACAGCCTCTTTAGGTGTGTTTTATGTCGTTGTTTAGGCCATTTAGGGTTTAGTTGTTAGATATATTAGGATAAGGGGCAATTGGGTGTATGAGCATATCAAAATTTTAATCCAATTGCTCCAATCCAATGGTCTATAATAAACAAATAAGGCAACTTAAAAGATTTATGGCCTGCCTTGTCTTACACTTAAGCGACAATCACTCACCTCGGTCATTTTTTTCTCAGTTCACCTTTCTTTGCTCCGTCTAGACTATCCAAGGTGACCAAGGGTCGCTTCTCGCCTAGGCTCGTTTTTGAAAACACTAACAGGAGTGGCACTCAACCGAGCCACCAGATTTGAGAATAAGGTCGGATCCCAGTATCTAGTGGTCGGTGAATCACTGATCAAAGAGTGCGCAGCCGCCTGATTTAATGATTTGGTGGGATCTACAGTATTCCCCTATCCTTCTCTCTTATGGCTTAGGAGATTGTCTCCGTTATCTCATTTCCCAACCAACCTAAGGTAAGAAAACTTCCTTTTAAACTTATTGAAACTGACCCCAAAATAAAAAAAAAAACTTCTGGAAGAAGCTAACTAGAGGACCTTCAAAGGCCTATCCAATCAGTCAATAAGCACATCTTACAACCGAATACAGATAATTAATCTTGCTCTGTAATTAAAGAAACATAGTAAAAATAGCTCTTTGATTTTAGGAAGGAACTTGATGTTGGAAAGTACCTTGATTCTGATAGTCCATTCTTTTTGTTTAGAATATCCAATCAAAAGGGCTTGAGATTACCGCCATTCATGGTGGATTTAAGATACCCATCTTCACTAGGAATTTGATTGCTTTAGTAATCCTATTCCTTGGATCACCAATTAGTTAATTATCCAAGCATGGTAATCTAAGGTTTTAAAAATGAGATTCATGTGTCCCAACCAAAATTACCAAAATGCAAACAAACTATTATGTTTTTTTGCTTCCAAACATAAAATAAATGTATGCAAAGACATTAATTAGCAATTCTTTACAAGTTTGCACTTAACTATGCTATGTCACGCCTGAGTTTATGCTAACACTAACTAGCAAATCATGTACATTGTACCCCACACAACCCACAGGGTAAAAAATAGCCATGATTCATCTTAGTACTACACAAAAGTATGTGGAGGTGAAAAACACTCTTGGACATATCCCCCCCCCCCCCAAAAAAAAAAAAGGAAAAAACAAAACCAAAAAAAAGGAATAAAATGCCCTTAATCCCTAATAACTATAATAACTTTTTTTTGAGATATTAAAACTAAATCTTTAGATAGTAATAATATCATTGGCATTTAATTAACTTTAGTGGTGCTAAATAGTTATTCACTTAGTATACATTATTATACTAGTCAAATTATATTTTACACAATTTATAGAAATATAACCCCTTTGGCTTGAGTACCAATTACAAAAAAAGCAAAAAATATTTACTCAACTGGGCAAAGTAACACATATTTTTATGCCAACCATTTTGTTCATGTTCATGATGTAACTAAAAGTTTTTTAAGAAAAGTACAGGTTTCACAACTTCCCGTCAAGTCTCATCAAAATCAACACCTTCTTGCTGCGTAAACCCTTTAGCAAGTAGACTCGCCTTAACTTAAAACGCTAAACTAAACCATAGGAAGGCTCCAACATCTTATAGACACAACGACAACCAACTACATGAATGGAAAAGGGCTTTTAGTATGATTCTCCCGCAGAAGATGATAGTGGTAGAAAGTTGCGTGTAGGAGCCCGAGCTCCCTATTTATAGGAAAATCTACCAAGGAAAAATATGTGTCCAAGAACGCTAAGTGAATAGTGTCTTTAAGCTCTCACCCAGCATCTATTAGTTCAATCAACATACGTTTCAAAAAGAATTTAGAAGGTATACTACTTTCATTAGTATACTACAGTATACTACTACATTAGGATGAAATTGAATCGGGGTTTCAATCTTTCTTATTTCTTATCGATTCCTGTCAAAAAGGAAGAATTTGATTGAACAGAAGGTCCATATTTTTTTTTATTGGTTTTTATGTTATTTCGTACTGTACAATTACTCTAGAAGGGCGTCAGGGCTTGACTAATAAAATATCAAAGGGGCCTGGAAAAAAAAAGTAAGAGGCTGCTACTCTAGGCTCGTTACGCTTCTTCAAGCTGCGCCTGATTTATATTACATTACTTAGTAAAGCAACATTTCGCGCTAGGCGCTCAGAGTAGTTTGTGATTGAGTGATAGATTGATTGACACCCGAAGAAGGCTCGACCGAAGGAATGAGTCAGAAGGTGAATAGTAAGCCCTAACGACAAACGAACCTATGTGTGGACCATTTTCGGGGACTAGCCTCCTTCTTTCTTACTTGACTTTCAATTCCACTCTTTTTTTCTTGCATTTGAATAACTTCTTCATCATCGTCATTCTTCTAAATTCGTTTTCACTGACTCACTTTCTAATTACGAGTTTCTCAGTTCTGGGTGGACTCGCTTACCTTTGTCAATCATTTTTTCTTCCTTATTGTAGAACTTTTGAAGTAGTAGATCTTCTTGTAATATTTCACTTTGGTTATCCTTCATTTTTCATTGATAGATTAGATTTCAACTTCGCGTATATTACTGCTTTCTTTTGGTCCTCCCAGCGCGTTGAGAGGTCTATGTCACCTCCCTAGGTTGGCTTTCCCCCTGTGTCAAATGGAACATCTAAATTCCTTATATTCCTTGTGGGATTATGAAGACTTCCTAAAATTGCTAAGTCAGTAGCAATGTAGTAACTGTCAGGTTTGAAAATCTATTGGTACATATAAATATGAGAACAAGTAGTAATAGCAGCAGCCATTTGAACAGCTGATATCTTAGGAGGATTCCAGTCTGAGTCGTCAACATGTCCTGTATTGCTAACGTAACTTACGATATAGTAATACTCACATTCTTCCATGGGTGATTTGTTATGATTATTATTATGCTCAAGTTGGCGGAAAGCTTGATCACGGCTCAAACTATCGCCAAAAAAAAAAAATGAATGATTCGGTAGTTCTATTTAGAGGAAGTACATAATAGTTGTGGTATGATGACTCTTATAGAACAACCTGTGAATGACACAATCCAGCAACTTTAGATATCAAGATCCTACGAATTGGAATGGTACAATACTGCTAATGAAATGTCAAGATTCTGCTTTCGACACCTGGCTAGGTCCCGCTTGTAATGGATCTTGGCTTGGACCACTTCCATTTTGATATATAGTTGGCCCTTGAGCTGGTCCACCTATTATCTATCTCTGGTATGAGCGGACTCAAAGTCATTAAACCCTTCTCGTTAACCACACATACTATTCATCATGTTTGTTGGCATTCTCTTCCGATCCCCCGGGTTCAACACAAATATTTTTATGTCAACCATGTTGTTCATGTTCATGATGTAACTAAAAGTTTTTAAGAAAAGTAACTACTTTTTTCCCTTAAAGAAGATTTTTGTTCTAAGCATTGCTCGAGTTAATAGGTCTTATTACTTAATTCCAAGTTTTTCCAATTATTTTCTAGAAAAAAATGGCTTTCCGCCGGTTGTTTTCAAAAAACACATAAAATGAAAGCAAAGTCAAGCATCAATTCTGTAACAGAAAAAAAAGTGAAAGAAACCATTTTACAAAATGAGTGACTCTTGCAGCCTTGTAATTGAAATTGTAATGCAGAATTCTGACTACATACACTCACATATTAAGGACCTGCTTGAGACGGCCACTCCAGAATGCATTGTTATGTATCCTATTTTCTCCAATGAATTATTCATATTTTAGAGTAAAAAGGCAAAATAATTTTGTTACCACAATAAAAATTAAAGTGACAGGTTACAATGAATTTACTTATCTCTAACTTCTTTTCACTACCAGCCATTTAGCGGTCACGCGACATCCGGTTGGTCTCTCAACCGCAACGTCAATGTTGATACTTCTACTTGACCCAAGCATTTGTTTTTGCGGATGCAGACATACTTCTATTTCTAGTTATATAAGAAGTTGATCTATTTCTGGCGTTTTAGCTGGTACCCCAAAAAAATGCACATCATTATTAGGAACAAATATGGATGAAAGCAGTGCCAACAAATCATCTACTTTTTTCAATGTATACAATTTCTCAAATACCTAGCATAGAAAAACAAATTTAAAAATTAAAATTAAAATCAAAACTTATATGGAGCAAATAGTTCAACTTATTTAGTATGGCTCACCTTTAGTATGGTTCTCTGTCTGAGAAGACGCAATCAAATGCACGCCAAGCGAATCATTAAAGAACTGGGAACAAATAAACAAAATCAAAGCACTGAATATCAGATCAAATCCAAAATTAAATTTGAAGCATTCACATTAAGTTGTCTTGTTTTAAACTCACCGTGTTGGAAGCATGTAGCTCAAGCACAAGGCTGCAAGCAATTAAAACCCAAAGCATTTGAGGATTGATCAGCTTTAGCTTCAATTCCATCATTTCACAATTCCACTAACCCTAAAAACTGCAACCATTTGGGTATTTGTAAATATACATAGCATATATACGTGTGGAAGTGTCGGAGAGAGAGGGAGGGAGGGAGAGGAGGACTTGGGGAAGACAGTCTATAGATCAAATGATTGAGGAGTGAGGCAGCTGATCAGAGTGGCGCAAGGTTTTTCACCAAAAGGAGAGGTTTTATGAAACAGTTCAAGGGCTTTCTTTATGAGTGGTAGTTTGGACTGGACTTTAAAAGTTCCGAGTCTTCTGACAAAGGGGACAGAGAATTTATTTCTCCTGTTCTTCGGGTCGTTCAGTAAAGAAACGAAACACAGAAAAACCTCCCTGTATTTAGGGACAATTGCAGATGATCCCTCCATATTACATTTTTACGCTAAATATTCCAGAAATAACAACTATCAAAAGCTAATTTAGACCTCGGCAACATGCCGGGCCGGACCGGCCCAGCCCTTTATTTTTTAACCCATAGCCTGCCTGTGAGCCGGACTTCTAAGCTTCGACTAGTCAATGGTCCGGACGGGGCCCACCTGTTAGGAAAATATGGACCGGACCGGGCCTTATGACCCGCCCATTGGGCCTGAAATTACTTTTTATGTAAAAAAAAAAAAGACATCTATAAATTTATTTTTTATATAAAAAATACAAAAAAATATAAATTACATAAAGTTGGTATGAAAAAATAAATTAACAAAAAAATTATTCATATTGATTGAATTTAACAAATATTCATATAGAATTGCAATGTTATATTACAAATTAATTAGTGTGTGAGACTATTTTGCATCATTATAAATTAAGTGTATCCTAATTAAATTGACACCTATACAATTGTTTATTTGCAAGTCTCAACATATAAAAATTACAAATCAAATATCAAATAAATAATACAATTATGAAACATAATCTAATTATTTTATTGGGCTAATCAGCGGCCTAACAAGCTTCTTAACGAGCCAGTCCGTCGGGCCCCCGACCCTAAAAAACACGGCTCAGGCCCTACCCGCCGGGCTAGTGGACTACCCAAGCCCTACCACGTGTATGGGTCAGGTTGCCCGTTAGCCCATTGGGCTTTCGGACAGTGGGCTGCCCATTGGGCTCTGGGCTTTATGGTGAGGCCTAAAAACTATGTATGATTTTTATTTTTTTTGGTCTTGATATATGCCCCTTATGAAATCTACAAAAATATTAAACTACCATCATAATTTCATTTTATTAGGGGTGAGGGTTTGCTAATTGTCCCACCTTATTAGCATAACTACCCTGGCTGGGAGTTATATGCGTCAATGTTTTAAGAACCGGATCAGTCATCGAACTGGTAAGTGGATCAGATCAATGATTCACTAGTTCAACCGTTGGGTCAACTGGTCGAGTTGGTCATATAATAAAAAAATAATAATATTATAAAACATAATAATTTGCCTAACAAATATAAAACATAACAATCCCACAATCTCAATTCACAATCTTAATACTCAATAATTTGAGTGAAATCAAGTATTATCAATTCACACAATCTCAATTCACAATCTTAATACACAATATTTTGAATGAAATTAAGTATTATCAATTCACAATCCCACAATCTCAATTCACAATCATGAATTATCAATTGAATAAAATCATCTCAATCTTAATACTCAATTCACAATCAAGAATTATCAGCTGAATAAAATCAAAAGGACATGAGTACAACTCTAAGTTTCTTATAATGAAGGGAAACAAGACATGATTAAGCCACATTTGGGAGAGAAATAAAGAGAGAGAAGACTTACATACACAAATTTGGCAGAGATTTACATATAGAAGGAGATAGATCGATTGGAGAAGCTCATGTATGTGTGACAGAGAGTTGCAGTGAGAGTGAGAATCTTTCAATCATGAAAGTGATGGTGAGAGTGCAAACCATCAATCGTGAGAGTGAGAATCTTCAATTGAGAGATAAAAGGGACTCAGTTGTTGTGTGCACGTGAGAGAGAGAAAGAGAGGTTACACATAATCACATACACTTACTATTATTGAAGCAAAGTGAAGGCAGAAAAGGCGACTCAAATCAATCGAGTTAAGAAGGCTTGAAGCTGAAGATGTTCGTCGATCTGAGTTGAAGGCTAACTGAGCGAGAGAGATCGAGCTTCGAGGAGAGGTGACTTGATCTTAATTGCTCACCCAAGTATAATTTGTCAAGTTATAATATTACTCGGTTAAGTCTAAGGTTGAATCCACAAGAAGTTATCTATTGGAATTCAAAGCAGAAAATGTGAAATTGTCGTGCGTGTAGTATGCATGACAATAGCTTGTGGTGTGAGCTTAGAATTAATAAATAAACATTTAAACTAAACTTTGATTACAACAATTGAAAAAGGCTACTCTTTAGCTCAGGGATCCAACATGCAATTCTATTGTTTGACTATGAAAATGTCAAATTATAGCAACTAACTCTTGTGTCAATAGAAAGTTAACTGGTAGATTTGATGTATAGGTTGAACCATATCACAACAACTATTAAATTTTTTTTTCTGTTGGAAAATGAGATACATGGAAATGAAAGTAAAAAAACTCCTACTAGCCAACTATACTATAATATTAACTAGAGGAAATAAATCGACCCTTCCTTGTTCCCGATTCTCTCCTTCTTGATGCACTATCTTAGCTATTGTTTGTGAAAGTTCTGATGGCAGAATTGGACCTTCACGCTTGGTAGTTAATCCCCATTTTGAAAGAGCATGTGAAGCTCCATTTGATTCCATATAGACATGCGAAAGACTCCATCCAGATTGTTGGATCAGCAAGTGTTTTGTATCCTTGACAATTGTTTCGATAGTCCAAGGAATTCTGTAATGAGGAAGTGTTGCTGCAAAGATCACTGTCTGTGAGTCTCCTTCCATATTTATATAGTTCCATCCCTTGATTTGCACCCATAGTGTTGCTTCTCTAATTGCCAAAGCTTCTGCAATTAATGGGTCTTCTTCCTTAACTAATTTTACCATTGCCTCCATAACTAATCCTTGTTCACTTCTAGCTATAGCTGAAATGTATGCCTCTTCTTTCCCAATAGCTACATCAACTTTGATTTTAATTTTTCCTTCTTGTGGTTTCAACCATCCATGTTGAGCATGTGCCCTTGCTAATTGCTTTGTGGAAACAGTCCCTTCTTGACTTATGCCTTGCATGTGTTCATTAAAGGCCTTGGATAAATCTTAAAGGATCACCATTAGGTCAGTCTTAGCTCATCTATAACATATCTTGTTCCTCCATATCCAAATTATTGTCATTAAGGTTGCTACAAAGATGAGTAATTGGCTATAATGAGGACTACATGGGCCAAAGACAAGAGTTGGGTTGAGGATATTATGCATCCAATATTTCATTTCAAACTGAGATAAGGCTTCGGTTCTGAATCCCCATCCTTAAAACCAAATCAGTCGGCTTATTTCACATGTGAAGAAAATGTGGGTTTTTGTCTCAATAGCTTGTTTTCATAAGGGGCATAGTGGGTCTAAGATTGGGAATCTAGTAGCCAATAAGGATTTTGTAGGAAGACTTTCTGTTGTTGTTCTACAAATCATCATTTTGAGCCTTGAATGAATATAAGATTACCATAGCTTGGTCCAATCTGAGGTACTTAGGTAGTAGCTATTTTTCTTCATGTGCAAATCTTTGTAAGGAGTAAGTAGATTTGGTGGAAAATTCACCTAATCATTTTGAGCCTTGAATGAATATGAGATTTCCATAGCTTGGTCCAATCTGAGGTACTTAGGTAGTAGTTATTTTCTTCATGTGCAAATCTTTGTAAGGAATAAGTAGATTTGGTGAAAAATTCACCTGATGGCACATGGATCGAGGTCATGTGATCTTCTCTAAGGTAGATTAACAGCTAATGTCCAAAATAACTTAAACAATCCTAGGGCAAAACATGTTTTGAAGCAGTTCAACATTTTAGGTGTTATTTCCTAGATTGATGAGTTCATCAACTATATTAGGCAAGGGATGGATGTCTTGTGTCAATAAAGGCTTGAATTGTGGCTGGTTAGGTATCTAGGGATCTTTCCATATATTAATTTTGTGGCCCTTCTCAATGATGTATCATGCTCCTTTCTCAATGGTTGTTCTGCACTGCAAGATCTATTTCCAAATGTTAGAGTCAGTTGGTTGTTTCTCAACATGAAAAAAAATAATGTATTGAACAATACTTTCTTTCCAACTAGGAGGTCCACAGCTTGTGTTTTTGTTATATCATCTGCCAACCCAGTTAGCCATATTTGTGTCTTGCATTTTCCTGAACCCTAGGCCTCCAACTGCTTTTGGTCTGCACAAATAATCCCATGACTTGATGCACAACAACTTTTTGCCTTCTGTTTGTCCCGACTAAAAGGTTATGATCCTCTTATCAATTGACTCACAAGTAGACTTTGGGAGAAGGTAGGATTACATAGCATAGGTTGGAAAAGCCATAACAATTGACTTGATCAAGGTGGCTCTTCTAGCACAAAAAAAGGAGCTTTGTTTTCCAACCTTGGAGTTTTTTGTCAAGCTTTTCAATGATTGGCTGAAAAGGTCAGTTTCCTAGACCTTTCCATCTTCAATGGGAGGCCCAGACATTTGGCTCCGTTGTTGCCTTTCTTCAGCTAGAGAATGAACTTGGCTGACCTGATGGTTTGTCTAGTTGCAATAGAGCTGTAAATTATTATGGAGTTGTTCTTGTTGATGAGTTGTCCTAACCATTTTTGAAAAGTTAAAAGGCACTTTGAGATGGATTCAGCTTCTTTCTTATCTGCTCTACCAAATATTAAGAGACCATCAACAAACATCAGATGTGTGAAAGTTTCATAGTTTTGAGCTATTTTAATGCCTTTTAGATGCCCTATTATTGACTCACTTACTAACAACCTTGAAAGGACCTCAGTGCATATGATAAAAAGGAAAGGGGAGATGGGATCTCTTTGCCTTAGACCCCTCTGGCTTCTAAAATTCCCCTTGGG